TTTATTTAAAAAATTGTTAATTTGTTTTCTTATTCTTCTGGCAAGTTTCGCCATTTTTGCATATTCCGTAAGTTTTGTATCCATTCTACCTTTGCTGGGACTTCTGCTTCTTTCCATTCTGGGGCGAATAACATTCCTGCCACTGTAAAAGCATACATGAATGAGTTTCTATACATTTTAGGTACTACTGTCCCTATAATTCCCAAAAGAAAAGCTTCTGGTTTTGTTTGTTTGTTTACAAAGGTTATTTTAAACATCCTTTTCATTTCCTTATATATCATTTCCCTAGGAAATGTATCCCACTTTTTTGCCTTGGGAAATTACAATAATTGAACTGGGATATGGTGGGTCGTGATGGCTGCATTTGTTGGAGAAGGAAAAGATTTGCTGGAAAAAGAAAACATCCACTTACAGTGATATTGAATGGAACTCTTTTATCTCTTTCTCTAAGGAGACTTTTCCTTCTCTTGTAGACACTGAGGGATGATGACTGAAAAGGGGCCCACCAGTGACTGCTAGCTGGACAAGCCCGTCTTTTGGCCACTGGTTGCTTATCAGGTCGTTTCAGACCAGCCTTCCCCAATCAGGTGCCCTCCAGATGTTTGAGACAGCAGCTCTCATCAGCCTCAGCCTTCAGCTGTGCTGGCTGGGGCCGTTGAGAATCGTAATCCAAAACATCTGGCCATCACCTGGTAGCGGAGGCCTCTTTTTAGGAGATCTGGTCACCCTTTATTCTCACCTACCGGAGAGAGATAGGGAGCATCTGCTGGTCTTAATCTTCCATTGGCGCCACGAAAATGCAGTGGTGCAAATTTGCCCCTTGCTCAGCTTATGAATATGCCCTGTCTTTTTGCGCCATCCCCAGTCAAAACAGCACTTCTGCTGGGAGCTGCCACGCTAGCAGCCAAGCTTCCCAAACAGCACAGAAGCAGATGGTTGACCTCTGAGCTGTTCAAAGATTTTGTAAGGCCCAGATGTGGGAGAGGGGTGGTGGAAAGCAAAGCTGTAGCTAGTTTCTGAGGTCATCCCTTTCCATGGGTTGCATCCCATCAGTTCTTGAGATATGGCAGTGGTCCAGCCTAGGTGTGGCTTCAACTGTAACTTAAATAAAGGAAAGGCAGGGAGAGCGGAAGTGGCCTTGTCAGGGCTGGGTCATGCTTTTCTTTACAGTAATTTCCTCTGAGCTTTTTGGGGCTTGGGCAAACACTGCTTTCAAAATGCATTTCTCATTTCTTATTGTTTCCTCCTTATCTCTGAAGTGGCCTTGATTGGCCAACTGCAAGCCTTTCAGTTGAACCACTTAATCTTGGAGTCAGATTTAGCATCTGGCTGAACTGGCGCTTCCCACAGCTATCAGTGTGGAGAGCCTAATGGACTATGGGCGTGCGCAGGTAGAAGATCCTGAGACGCTCTGTACCGTAAACTAACTTTCTTTCTTTTCTTTCTTTCTTTCTTCCCCGTTTTTCAATTTCTAAGGCCTAGTAAGAATTTCTGAAGACCTTAAATGCCCTGGCCAAGCTCTGTCAGCTACAAATCCTTTTTTAAACTTAATTGTTTCATTTGCAATTTTAGCAGAACTTAAAAATGGAAGACAATAATTAAAAGAAAAAGTAGTGTATAATTAATAACCAAAAACCATTTCACAATCTGAATGCAATAACCATCAGTACATACAGCTTAGATTAAACGTTATAAGTTAATATGAGCTCTCCAAATGTCCAGGTAGGTATTTGTGCAAAACTGACGTCCATATGAAATATGTTCAAATGTAGCCAGGGGAGTGACCTTTGCAGTGAACGGTGGGTATGAATCATACCAGGGTTGAAGTATAAGTCATTTAGCAACCACAAGGGTTTGCAGAGTCCATTTTTGTTGTCCTGCTGTTCATCCCCATACTGCAGGAATATACAGTCATGGGAAAAAGAAAGTACACCCTCTTTGAATTCTGTAATTTTACATCTCAGGACATAATAACAACCATATGTTTCTTAGCAGGTCTTAAAATTAGGTAAATACAACCTCAGATGAACAACAGCATATGAAATATTACACCGTGTCTGGGCACCACAGTTCAAGAAGGACACTGACAAACTGGAACATGTCCAGAGGAGGGCAACCAAAATGGTCAAAGGTCTGGAAACGATGCCTTATGAGGAACGGCTAAGGGAGCTGGGCATGTTTAGCCTGGAGAAGAGGAGGTTAAGGGGTGACATGATAGCCATGTTCAAATATATAAAAGGATGTCACATAGAGGAGGGAGAAAGGTTGTTTGCTGCTGCTCCAAAGAAGCGGACACGGAGCAATGGATCCAAACTACAAGAAAGAAGATTCCACCTAAACATTAGGAAGAACTTCCTGACAGTAAGAGCTGTTTGACAGTGGAATTTGCTGCCAAGGAGTGTGGTGGAGTCTCCTTCTTTGGAGGTCTTTAAGCAGAGGCTTGACAACCATATGTCAGGAGTGCTCTGATGGTGTTTCCTGCTTGGCAGGGGGTTGGACTCGATGGCCCTTGTGGTCTCTTCCAACTCTATGATTCTATGATTTATTTTACAAAAACAAAGCCAAATTGGAGAAGCCACATGTGTGATTTTCCAGGCTGGGTAAATATGTACGTCGTCCATCTTGCTCCAAAGCTAGATGACAAAGCCATGATGCTTCCTCACTGAGCAACCTTAGTCAAATGACAGAGAATCTTGGCAGCTTAAATCAGGACTGATGGTATAGTTTTATTGTGAATGTCGGCTGACATTATTGTTAGTGCCAGTTTCTCATTATGCAAAATGGACGCGAGTGTGACTAGTTAGGCCAAAGTGACCCTAGAAAGATCCCAGATTCCGGGAGAGACCCAAAGTGTTGAACTGGGAGTGCTGAATAATAGGAAGACAGTGGCTGGTAGTGGAAATAGCAGGATGTTAGATGCAGGACATTGGAGAGCGCCCATGGAGGACAGACGTTGCTCTGAGGACTGCTTGGCTGTTGAGACTTGACTCTTAAAAAGCAGAGGGAGGGGGCTGATTGATGCCTAAGCTTTGCCCCCTCCAGCTATGAACTGGAACGTTCTTAAAGGGAACAGAGTCTTCACTTGAGAGTTCAGGTCCCTCTGAATGCAAATCACCTTCTTTTGTTATTGGTATGTGTGTGTCTTACGGGGAGTGGGGAGCTTTTGGTGGCTGGTGATCTGATGAGGGAGATGGAGCAGCCTCTCTGCTGGTTGAACCCAGCAGCACATTTCAGCATTTCAGAATTGAGGAGTGTTTGAGGCAGAGGCTCCCCGCCTCAAGGCCACCGAGATATTTGGGACATTGGACGACTGGGTTGCTGCAGATATAAGAAGAGATTCAGCCATGTGGTTTAGGTCCCACCACTGCCGTAGTTTCATTTGGCAGCCCTGAGGAAGTTGCTGTTATTCAGCCTCAGTTTTCCCCATCTGTAAAATGGCAATGACATCTCATGGTGGGAGTGTGAGGGCAAGTTAAAACAGAGGCCGAATATTTGCTTTGCGTTTCTTGCAGTTAATTTATCTGGACATCTTTTTGAAGGACATGGAGTAGACAAATGAACCTTTGCTTAAACTATCATCATCATCATCATCTTTTTATTTGTGTGACGCCTTTTCATAGTTAAAGCCATGCCCACAATGGCTTGCAACATGACAATATTTGCATTATTTCAAACATAATCAAAGAAGTAATAAACAATAAAACACATCAAGAAATAAACGACCAAGGTGAACAATTCCCACATAATTCATAATGAGATATAAAAACAAAGATTCAAAATTGAATTATATTGTGTTGGCCATTTGTTCCATCTAACCTAGTACTGTCTTCTTTGACTGGCAGTGACCCTCCAGGCTCTTTTTCTTCAGTGCTGCCGCCTGAAATTGAACCCTGGGTCTTCAGCCTGCGAGGCACATGCTTTTCCAGTGAGTTGTGTGTGCTCCAGAGTTGATTCTTCCTCTTCCCTCCCTGTGGTGGGAAGTCCTTTCCCAAGGGAACACATTTCCACACCCCCCCCCCGGCCTCCACTTTTGTCTTTTGGAATGCTCTCTTTGGCTGCCTGCTAAAATAAGCAGATGTACACGATGGCAGCAAAGGGTGATGCAATGGTTTCTTTTCTCTGCGATGCCGGGAACCAAGTGCTGTGACTTGCATTGCGTCACTTGCAATTTAAACGCTTTCCAGGTAAGCAAACAGCCGCCGGCAGTTGCTGAAGTGGTTTCCTTGTGAATTCTTCGACTTGTCAACGGTGGCTGGGCATAGTAAGAAAAGACCTGCCGGATTGGACCAAGGATGTGTCTCATCCCCGGTCTCCCTCCACGTGCTTCCGGAAAGCCGGAAGCAGCACCAGAAGTCCACTTGGCCCTCTCCTGTTGTTGCTGCCCAGCAACTGGGACTCAGAGGCGTCATGGATTGACGTAACCTCCATGAAATACCTTTTCAGGGATTTGTTCCATGGTGTAATCTCACAAGTCACACCACGCTAGCATGAGAGAACCCAGGAGCAGGGCCAAGGAGTGCCGTGTGGGCATTAACTGGTGCGACCTCTCTGCTGGTGATCCAGTCTGGGTGGCTGTAGCAGCCTTTTTGGCAGATGTGGCACAATGGTGGAGCACAAAGCAATTAATTCACTATTCACGGGGCTTGGCATCAGCATCAAACCAGCTTGGGCAACTTCCCAGGGACCCTGGTGAGCTGAAGGACGTATTGAGGTGGACGTAGGGCTCCGTAGGATCTTCACTCTACTCTGCACTCCTGACATGTGGGAGAGGGGATTGGCAGAATGGATGCAGGATTGTGGAAATGCGTGGGTCCTGTGCCCATGCTGTTTTGGGGTGTGTGTGTGTGTGTGTTCTCTTGCCCTTTAGGCCCACAGAATCTTGGAGCCTTCCCCAGGGTTGGAGAGGGCAGAATGAAAACACAGCCTGCTTCTTAGAATTATACAGATGGAAGGGACAGTGAGGGTCATCTAGTCCAAAAACCTTCAATGCAGGAATCTTTTGGTCAGCGTGGGGCTCGAACCCACTACCCTGAAATTAAGAGTCTCATGCTCTACCGGCTGAGCCCTCGAAAAATCAGGCTTCGGTGTTCAGTTGGTCAGTTAGATTAGTCATCATCATCATAATAATTTTAAACAATAATTTTGTTATTTATACCCCTCCCGTCTGGTTGGGTTCCCCCAACCATTCCTTTTTAATGGATTGGTCGGTTATCAATTATTTTTTTAAAAATGTAATTTTATTTTATATATCAGTAGTTAAACAACAGAACAAGTCCTGGAAATGATTCTCACTCCCTCTCTCTCTCCCCCCCCATCCCAACCCCAGTGGTACGATCAGAACTTGTAGGACTCTGCATTAACAATTTTTAAAATGGTGTTGTGGTTATTTGAACTTGAGAAAGCATAAATCACATCAGAAAAGAGCACACACAGTCTTCCCACTTTTATATATATATAAAATGTGCTTATGAGCTATGGACAAAAATATGCTGGTTGGATAACTGAAGGATAGCCTACTGAGATGTGAGGATACTTATTTGAAGGCATATCCAGATGTCTGCAAATAGCAAATGTTTCTGTTGCTGCTGGAATGGTGCTTGTCTGGACCAAGGGGTACCCAGGGGTAAACGAGGTGGAAGCTGGGTGTGGAGGGATGGGTGGCTTGTGGGTGCAGTTGAGCTTCTGGATTGCCAGCTGGCCACATAGAAAGAAGAGGAAGTGATGTGCACATTCTCCAGTAGTGGAGGGGCTGATTGCACACCTTGGGAATTGAGTCCTTATAGGTGGGGCATGCAGGAGTGAGTTGGCAGGTAATAGGTGATGTCACAGGCACCCGTGTAACTGGTAGCCATGGTATATGTGCATCCCAAATAGGCTCCTCTTCTCAGGAGACGTGGAAGGAAGGGTGTTTTCCGCCAGCAATTCAAATTTGCATTTTGAGAGCCGGGAAACGGTGATCTTCCCCACACTGGGTGCTCGTAGGTAGGAGAATGTGGTCTGGCCCTCATCCAGTCACCTGGGCCACAATTCCAGTGCAGGACACGCCCTGAGTATTGCTGGAGACACTGAGGACTTCTCCGTATCTGCTACCTGAGAGACTTCCCTTAATTTTAAGATTGTAAGAAGGGCCTGGTAGAGCATTCAAACATCCATCATAGCCCAACGTCCTCTTCTCACAGTGGCGAACCAGGAGGAACTGAACGTGACAGTGCTCACCCCAGCTGGTATTCAGAGGTGTATTGTCTCTGGCAGCGGAGATAGAAAGCAATCATCAGGGCTAGAAGCTGTTGGTAGCCTGATCCTCCTATCAATTTGTCTTAATGTTCTGTACGAAACTTTGTGGGTGCTTTTTCAGAATGGCTGATAAATAACTGGAGGTGCCTAGGATTGTATTTGAGGGTCTCGTGCATGCATTCCCGATTCTATGCTAGCCCTGCTACACTTTTCTGGAGTTCCCAATCCAGCTTGCAAGCAAGAAAGGGGCCGAGCATTTTCAAGAACTCTTGGGGCATTTTGCTGTTGAACAAACGCCAGATATTATTAGATGACAGTTGAGAGTGTGAAGGTGAGCACACGATTTCTCGCGGCCAACACATTCCTGCTTTTCCTCCGGAGAGGATTTAAAGATAATTCCGCTTCTGTTGTGAAATATTGTACATGCATACTTGCATAAACATTATGGTTATAGCCGAGGTTAGTCAGCCTTTCCGTGCTACAATCTTCTGAGAAAATGGAGTATAACTACTGTAAAAGTTGTTCTGGGCAGAAAGTTGGCACCCGCGACCAGCCTTGGGAGCCAGCTCTTTTTATGGGCAGAACTTGATAAATGTGTTTGAGTGGTTTCTGAGTTAAAATAAACCCAGCATGTGGAGTAGCTTCAAGTGCTCGTCAGATATTCTTAGAAATGGCACCCTTTGAATCTCGTTGTGTTTTACTGGGTGGAATTTGTGCTGATCCATAAGAGAGTGGAGCGCACTGGAACAGGAGGGAGCTGGGTAGAAGCCGAAAGTTACCAAACCAGCTTCTCCCGTGTCCCAGCGGAGTGTAAATTTGTTTGCTTTTAATGGCACGGAGAGAAAGAGAGAGAGATGCTAATCAGGAAGTCCCTCATTTGACTATTGCAGCTACCACACACTCACAGGCTGACTTGGGGTGGCATAGGGCACCCTCAGCGTCAGACCCAAATTTGCAATATGGAGATGATAATACTGGCCTACTTTGTTCCTTATTCGATTTATAACCTGCTGTTCTTCCAAACGTTGCTGAGGACAGCAAACACAACAATGATAAAGGATTAGAAACAAGCAAACACCCAACATTCAGAAAGCTTAGGGTTTTCGGGAACAGTATCTTTCTGCTGTCAGATGCCTGGGTAAACTGGAATGATTTTCAATGAGGATGACAGGCACGCTTCACCAGGGAGGGCATTCCACGCACAGGGAGCTGCCACTGAAAGGGCCCTGGCATGGGTAGGTGCCAGGCAGGCAGCCCCCAACGGCGGCACCACCTAGAGGGCCTCACCTGCCAATCGTAGGGGCTGTGATGGTTGATATTGAGGAAGGCACTCTTTCAGGTACTTGGGCTCCAGGTCCTTTAAGACTTTATATGCTTGTACTGGGAGCTTAACGGGAGGCCACCGGAGCAAGGTTCCTGCATTGCAGGGGTTTGGATTAGATGATCTTCGTGGTCCCTTCCAACTCTACAATTCTGTGATTCAGTTATTCTAAGGGCAACTGAGGGCAGGCTGTCCTGGTCCCGGAACAGCCGTAGCTGGTGAACCAGCCTAATCTGGGGCATAAGCACTTCCAGCCACACTGAAGGTACTGGAGACTGCATTGAGAAGCTGGGATCCAGGAAGTACTCCCAGACTGCCCTGTTCCTTCAGGGGGAGTGCAGCCCCTCCCAGAACAGGACTTAATTCCCAGGAACCACCAACCCACAGCACTTCCACTTTAGCAGAATCCAGCCTTATCCATACAGGACTTTAGGGGGCTGTTGTAAAAGTTCCAAGAAGATAATGCATGTGCAGGTATGCTAAGTCTCTGAAGGGCTGTATAAATGCGAAATGGGAAGGAGGAGGATTATGGGTAGCATCTTGGCCTCTTCCATGCTTTTCCATGTGGAGATCAGTCTCCTTGTTGGAGGTGGTGGGGCAGCTATAATAGTGCCTGGTATATATTTTCATCAACTGATCAGACATCTGCTGGGAAAAATCCTAGTTGCCTAGAGGCCCAAGAATTGGATGCTGGCACGTATAAGAATTGGGAATCCCCCATGTGCAGCTCTGCCAGATGGTGGTTGTTGGCATCCGTCCGTCTCGAGAGACAATGGAGTGCGCCTCCGGGGGTGAAGTCAAACCGCTGCGTTAGCAGCACTGAAGCATCCTCCTGGCACTCAAGCTGGGCTGCCCAGTCTGGAGGTCCTGGGCTCTCCAGGAGATAAGACCCCCCCTCTTGGTCTCACTGATGGGGTCCAAAGGAAAGCTGGACTTGCTGGAAGGAGGTGTACAAGGTGCCATGCAACTGTCTTAGGGACTCCACTCTGGATTTGTGTAGGGTTTTCAGTGGTCCCTCAGTAATGGGGTGGACAATATCCTGTGGGCAATGTCATGGGATGACTGCCATTGCCAAGCAGCTTGAAAGTGCATACCAAATATTTGTGACTCCATAAAGGGGCAGTTGTGTTGTGCTCTTGGTTCTGCAGCTGACAAAGCGTCACACTGAAATTGTATCATTCTCATATAATGATGATCGCACGCAGTTGCCCTCAAATCCTCCTAAAGCGGTGCTGTTCCTTGAGCTGTCAGTCCTCTAGATGGGGGGCTCCAGCTCCCATCAGCCCCTCCCAACATGGCCAATGGCCAGCCATGATGGGCATTGTAGTTCAACAACCCTGGAGACCCCCAGGCTCCCCAGCACTTCTTTAGCTTATACTGCTGCATTTTTGTTTTGGTGTATCCATAAACAAAAACCTTTTCTTTGGTTTAATCTTTGGCTTCACACCTCAATTCTCCAGCTTTCTCCCCCCCCCCCCCCGGTGTTATTTGTTCTATTACCCTTTCATTTATTAAGGTGTTTCCTTTGAAACATCGCAGCGCATTTTAACAATTAAAAACAACAATTAAAACACATGCATGTAGTTAAAAAAAAAATCAATGGCATACTTAAACCATTTCTGATCCGATAAAGATACCCGGTGGGATAAAGACCTCTGCTTTAAAAGGCTTGCTGGAAAATGAAGGTTTTCAACAGGTACCAAAAAGACGATAGAGGCAGCACCTGTCGTATTGATCGGGAAGGAGTTTCAGAAATTCAAAATAAGGTCGCATGGAGCTATAGAGCAGTCAAAGTCTATAGTTGAGAGCAAGAGTTAAACAAAACCCCAAAACACCACGGTTCCCAGCTTTGTAATTCTGAATGTTATTTTTTCTCTCCCAATGTGTCCCTTTTCCCTTAGGTTTTTCAGCCTAAATTTCTTTATAGTTTTCTTATGTTATATTTTTAAAATTTGTGCTTCTCTGGTTTGCTAGCCCTTCCGCCGTCTTTAATGTATGTCGTGCTCTTCCCCGCTCCAAGTCCCTCCAGCCACACACTCTGGCACCGATGTGTTATTCATTGCCAAGCATGATTGTCTGTGTGCGAGAGAGCATGTGAGCCTTTCCTTATTTGCAATCCAGGTGTGCGGCTGTTTGTTGTAGCAGCGTAATGGGAAGTGGAGGGCTGGCTGTGGCTCTTCTCACCCTGTGATAGCACAGGTGCCCTTTTCTGATAGGGCAGCGGAAGCGAAAACAAAGCCAGCTGCTCCCGTCGCTGATAACCTTTTGCTCACTGCCAGGCGTTCAATTGTTCCCCTGCCAGCTTGTGTCGGCCACCGGATGTGTGCCTTGGGTGTGGGAGCCACCTCAATTTGTTTTGGATCAGGTGGCCTGAAAGAGCTTCTTCAACCATCTGTGAAATAAAAACCGGGGATTCATTTCGGTAAGAGGCAATTAAAGGAATGGCATGCGGTTTATTAGGAACACTACATTTGCGAGGCCTCTCCTCCAACCCAGGGGTGGTATGGAAGG